TTACACGAAAGGTAGCTTCTGCTCTTTCACTTCTTTGTATTATTTTATTCATTACTGCTCACCGCCATTTCAACACTCGAATTGCCATCTTGCACACGCTCCATCGGAATCCAGCTTTGCCGCATCTGACGTTCCTTTTGAACACCATTCGAACAACACTCGTCCTATCTTCTTCACTCAAGCAACGTTCGTCTTGTACGCTTTCTCTAATTTCAAACTCGAATTTTACACATCTCGCACTTTTTCCTTTCAACACCAATAAAGCATCTCGAATGAAACTCATCTCTTGGCCTCAGTCCTTGTGTGTGTTTTTTTTTTGTTTTTGTTTAATGATTTCCTGTACAATGTATAGCCAAGATGGACAATAGCGGTGCTATTTTATATACAGCAACATATAGAGCAGCAAAAATAGCAGTAACAACCACGAAGACGACGACGGTCTCATGATCCACGGATTCGAATTGTACACGACGACCACCAATAGAACGCGCAACTTCTCCTGAACACGACGACTGTTGTTGCATGTCTCTGCGATGATTTTGGAAGGAGTAACAGCAGGAACGGTGGTGGATATTGTTATACACCAGCAGCAAAAATAACAGCGACATCCACGCAAATCGACGACGGTCTCACAATCCACTGATTTGAATCGCACACTACAAGCACCGGTTGGACGAGCAGCTTCTCTCGAACACGACGTCGTTGTCGTGTGTCTCTGCGATGGTTTATGAATGAGTGCGAACCACAACAGTCGATGGATATGCGATTCTATTATACACCAGCAACAACAGAAATAAATTAGCACCCACCAAAAAGAACTACGTTTCTTTGCGATCCTCTACTGTTATTCTGTGTCTCTTTACTACAATCCCCATCCCCATCCCCGTCATCATGTCATCATCATCTCCACCATAATCATGTCATCATCATGGGCACCACACTGCCGCGAAATAAAGTGTCTTGTCATCTGTTGCATTATATCTACTTGAGCTGCGTATGTTTAGCAGGAGTTCTCGGAGAAATAGTGCTTCCGGCGCCATTAGCGTTTTCCATTGGGCAAAAACAGTGTGATTTCCACAAAAAAATACTTTTTTCAAAACCCGTTCAAGCATTTGTTGCTTGCAGGCTTCCTTTTGTTTTACTCTTCCAGCTGTAAGGCCAAGACGGCTTCATAAAAGAGAGGTATGTGAGCTTGTATGGGGAGCTCATTGAAGAACAATTTAGCATTGGTTACTGAGTGCGGCGTTAATTAGTAGATGGTCTAGATGTGTGCTGACGGATTTCGTTCTATAGGAAATCAACTCGCTCTATTGATTAGTGTTTGAATCTGATGTAAATCTACACGGAAAGTAAGTACAGTCAAGCCCACTTTTTTTTCTTGAATGTTCTTTACGGCCGAGTGCCTCTTTTTTTAATTAATGATTTCCTGTACATTGTATAGCCAAGATGGAGAGTGGCGGTGCTACTTTATATACAACATACGCAATAACAAAAATAACAGCAATAACCACGCAAAACGACGACGGTCTCACGATCCACTGATTTGAATTGTACACAACGACCACCAATAGAACGAGCAGCTTCTTCCGAACACGACGGTCGCTGTCGCGCGTCTCTGCGATGCGTTTTAAAGGAGTACGAACAACAACAGTCGAGCCAGTGCTATGTTCTTATACAATAATAACAAAAATAATAGCAGCATCCACCAAAAATGACGTCGTTCTCGCGATCCACTGATTTGAATCACACACAACAAGCACCAGTCGAACGAGCAGCTTCTCCCGAACACGACGATTCATGGTGCAAGTCCCAGCGATGATTTTAGAAGGAGTAGGGACAGGAACGGGGATGGATATGCGATTGTATTATACTCCAACTGTAAAAATAACAGGAGCAACCACCAAAAAGCACCACGGTCTCACGATCCACTGATTCAAATGGCACACAACAACCACTAATCGAACGAGCAGCGTCTGTAGAACACGACGATCGTTTTTGGAGATCTCTGTGATGGTTGGGAAGGAATGCGAACAACAACAGTCGATGGATAAGCAATTGTGTTACACTTCACTGGCAAAACTAATAGCAGCATCCACTAAAAACGACGAAGATCTCACGATCCACTGATCCAAATGGCACACAACAACCACCAATCGAACGAGCAGCGTCTGTAGAACACGACGGTCGCTGTTGCGCGTCTCTGTAATGGTTAGGGATCGGATCGGCCATATGGAGTGCAAGGATATCATTTTCATATTTATTTTATATACAACAATTAAAATAAAGAGAGTCATTCTTATGAGGACTTTTTTATGATCTTACACAACAATAGTCGTTTCTTCTGAATAGATGTCATAGTGAATTCGAACACAACAAAAAAGATATGTGGAAAAGTTGTGAAGAAGAGCAATTTACTTTAAGGGAAGAACCTGGTATTTGTGGTGAAGGGCAGTTTAATGCCCATATGTAGATGGTTCAGACCGTGTATAGAAACTATTTAGAAAGTATGTCTTCTGGTCAAACTCTTATGTATTGAGTACGACCTTATGCTTTTTTTTGTTGCCTCTCTTTAATTGTTTATTATCATAGTAACATATATCCCAAATGGACGACGGCACTTGCTATATTGAGTATCATTCAAACTTATATTCAGCAGCGACCAAAAATATCAAGACTAGACTCTAAGAGACTATGTTCTCACCAAGAACTTGTAAAAAAAAAATCGGACCAAGCGTAGGTATGGACAGTAATAAATAATAGCATTAGATCATAGTTGCTGAAAGCATTCTAAGCAGCACCATAATAACAATGACAATAAAAGGTCTAATTGCACTGTGTAGAATGCTGGATCACTTTAGCATCTAGCATGATGCTGTACTAATAATAATAATACATATGTCTATGAGCTGGCAGTATCATAAGGCAATGTTGATATTGGATCTTATATATTGGCAACATTATGTTGAAGAAAACAATGGCAATGACAATAAACGGTCCCGTTTTGACGTTTTTTAGATCAATGTTTAGAAAGAAAATATAAGCAACTACTATCATGCACTCACGATCCTCACATATATAACCCCACACAGCCAATATGAATCATTTGAGCGCCGTCTAGAGACATTGACGATGATGATGATGCATCAGATTTGGCAGTAATCTACCAAGAAGAACGACGGCAATGATGTTAAATAGTATTCTTTTGACATTTTTAGCAGAAGAACTACAAAATAATGATGATGATGATGACTATTACCATCCACAGTAGTGTCAATAATAGCTTCAGCATGCAATTGAAGCAACAGTTCCAGTGTTGTCTTCATTATCACATATACCAACACCTGCACCTGCACCGGGAATAATCTATAGCAAAAATATTTAGTGGATCTACTGGATTTTCCAATAAACAATTATTCAATATGATGATAAGGAAGTTTTTATATATTAATCAGTAATAAAATATTTTCTTTAGATTCAAAAAAATTGTTATGGATCAAACATGTTTATAAGGATAATAAGTTATATAGATTAAACACCATATTATTTTCAGATCAAAAGGGCTTTATTTTCTTGAAACTTTTTAGATATTATTCTTTTTTCGGATCAAAATGGAAATCGTGGATTTTTCAATGTTTGGGTATTATGGTTTAATACCTATAGTATATACCCACGCAAAGCACAACCCAAGCAAAGCAAAGAAAGCATTAGTAGAGTAATTAAGACAGGGAATAATCATAGTGTCAACCTATGTGCGAAGCACAAACTGAGTGAATCGAAGAACACATGAGGAGAGTTATTAAGATATACATTAAGCATAGCATAAACCCATGCACGAAGCGTAACCCAAGCGAAGCAAAGAAAGCATGAGGAGAGTGATTAGGATAGGAATAAAGCATAGCGTCAACCCATGCACGAAGTGCAACCCAAGCGAAGCGAAGAAAGCATGAGGAGAGTGATTAGGATAGGAATAAAGCATAGCGTCAACCCATAAATCTATGTCGGACACGTTTAAGCAGGGGAAAGCAAAATGACAATGACAAACTCTTTTTGGAAGAGTGACGAAAAGGGAACCGCAGTGACGAAAAGGGAACATAGTAACGGAAAAGGAATGGGTGGGAGAATGACAAGATTGAACAAAAAGGGAACGCGGAAACGAAAAGGGAACCATGGTTACGAAAAGAAAAACGTAGAAACGAAAAGGGAACGGGGGGAAATGACAAATAGTGAACGAAAAGGGAATGGGGGGGGGGAATGACTAGCAGTGAATGAAAACGGAATGGGTGGGAAAATGACAAGACTGAACAAAAAGGGAACGCGGAAACGAAAAGGGAACGCGGAAACGAAAAGGGAATGGGTGGGAAAATGACAAGAGTGAACGAAAAGGGAAGAACGTAGCACACGTAAAAAAGAAAGAACAAGTCGAGCGGAGTGACAGCATGAAAACGAAAAGGGAAGCGTAAACAAGAAGAAGCGAAAAGTAAAAGGAGGAGTAATGGAAAAGGAAGGGCGTAGCAAAAGCAGTAAAGGAAAGAAAGGAAGCATGGGAAAAGGGTTGAAAGGGGTAAAGCCGCGGTTGTCATGGTTACCACCACTGCATGTATGGGAAAGCATCTTCTTCCGATGGGCTCGGGGCCCCAGAACGGTATATATACCTGAAGCAAGAGGGTACCGCTGCTGTTTCGCTCTTCTTTTTTTTTTCTTTTCTTCCCTCTTCTTCCTGCTTTACTTTTTACTTTGCCTTTTTTTTTTTTACCAAAGTCCTTTTGCTGCTCACTATTACTCAACATTGCTTCATCTTTCAACGTCCTTCATCACCATCACTCAAGCTTGCTGCATCTCACTTTACGCCACTCGAACATTACGCTTCTTTGTCATCTTCACTTGCTACGGGTGCTCTGTCCTTGCCGTCAACAGAACGTTGTTTTCTCCTGTCACTACCGTCAATCGTGCTGGCTGCCATCTGTGGTGACGTTATCCTGCTCTTGTATATGGAATCCAGCAATGCCGGCACCCATGTTGCTCTGCCTCCTGCAATACATACTCTGTTTTTTTTGGCTGTCCCGTATACGTTGACTTGCTCCATCTCGCAGTTCTCTTGCCACCGAAGATCGGGGACGTGTTGGATATTCTACTCATTGTGCAGACGAATTCTTTTCCGTGGGTGTCTTAACTCTGCCGGACATATTATGGCTCTTCTTGGCGTGCTTGTTTCCAAGGCTCCTTTGCTTGACGGTCTTATTTCATGGTTTTCCTGTGCTTACCAACGATGCTGTGCATAGATGCTGCTCTGCCGCTCCAAACGGATGACCTGTTCTCATAGCGTTCCTGTGTATGCTTAAGCTGTATGCCTTCATCCGCCGTTTTGGATTTATCAAGATTAAGGCTGAGACTGTGTTGTTGTTGTGGCTCTCCATGGGTGAACTAAGCTTTTGTTCGGACACATGCGTTTCCCTTATGGGCTCCTACTGTGTTTGCCGAGGTTATGATCCACATGGTAAGTTTTTCTAATTTAAGATCTTCCTTTATATTAGCTGGTCAGCACTTGTGGATTGTTTTATTAAAAAGCAAGAACGATTGATAGGATGAACAAGTGCATGTACACGCGCGATCGTTGACGGCAGGCATTGTGGGTATTGGCGACGGTGGCAGAGGAATTTGGATGGGCAGGTTATTATGTTTGTTTATGGAACAAGTGCAAGGCTGTTGACCATATAGCCATATCGAGATGCTGTTGGTGTGATAAGGTACTCTATGTGTATTGCTGGATGAGCTTGAGCCATATTCTAACTTGCGGCGGTGGTTTGTAATGAAGATACTACGTTTTTGTATCATTGTTACATGTGAGGATCCAGGTAAGTGGTCAAAAGTGATTGCTGGGCAGGATATATTGTGTTGGGCATGCTTGTGGTGGATGAGTGATGTGGAGATATAATTCAGAGTGCCGGTCTTTGTTTGTTGAAGGCAACAGTGTTGGACTAGAAGGATATAATTCTTAAATAAAGACGATCAATTTTGAAAAAAAAGCATAATGTTTTGAGCGGGTTAGAAGATGTGCTGTGAACGGCAGTTCTTTTGTCGGATTGCTGATACGACGGATTGTGTGAGGGCGCTAGTAAAAGAAATAAAAACAGAAGGATCTCTTTTTTATAACTTGGCTTGATTATCAGCGTATACATATGAATATGACGGTGAACCATGATCATGCTGTCTTTGAGTGACTGTGCTGCTGAAAAAGAACAGCACAGCTCTAAAAATCATGAATATCACGAACGCTCCCAGCCATCGATCGTACAAGCATCTCTGACAACTCAGCATACACTTTTACTGATATCACTGACACCATGTGCTTCTCACGAATGTTTGCGTACAACAATTTCTCTGGATGACGATTAGCAGATCTTCACGCCTGCAACGATGTAATATATACAGAGTGTTGGCCACGCGTGTTTATCATATCAAAATGAGAAAACTAAGGCGGCAGTCGTACCCACAGCACTCGAACACATATAAAACTTTGACGCACGAATATACAACACACGTTTTACACAACTCCTCAGTGGTCATTCCAATTGCTGGTCAAAACCGGCGTTTTCTGATATTAACAGCGCCATTGCACGTACATACGAACTCGTATGAATATGTTCTATGCCAGCCGGTGTTTTTTCTTGTAAAGAAAAGGAGAGGTACACAGCAATTCAAACAAAGACGGTATCCAGTACTAATTTTTTGATTATATTGTTGGTGCAACTTGTATAAACATACAAACAAAGATCTCATCACACCGAACAGCAACAGCACCGATTACTTTGGAATCTATGTCTCACGACCAAAAAAAAATAGGCAATCCATCGTCCTGCTCATATCATCTTTGCACAGATCCAGGCTTAGATCCAGCAGACTATTCAAGCTTAGACAAAAAATAATCGGTATGTGATCTTTACAATTTCTGCTGACGCTATAGTGCTATAGTGATGAAGGAAACGCTATGAAATAAAAAGACCGGTCTGTGGATTTTTTGTGTAAGAGACACTGGATTGCCCAGTTGAAGAATTAAACCTGCAAACTAAAAAGAGAACATCAGCATCAATACGTCGTCATTGAAGCTTGTTATTGTGGAGCTGAGTTTTGTGAAAATAAGGAACAGCAGCATTTCCGCAGGTATGCAGGTTCCATGCTTACACGGACACAGATGCAAATGCTGTTGTTCACGCGATCCGCCTAATCTTACTGCATTGGCATGAATTCAAGCAGCTACGTTACTGATGAACATAGGACATCGTGGGGCATTAAGACACTCAATAGGCTGAAAAGAAGGGTATTAAGCGCAACGGGTTTAGGGGCCTGGCAGCGAACGCCAGTGAGCGAGCAGGTTTAGTCGAACGCGCAAGTCCTGGTCCGGGTTTACTAAGGTTTCGGGTTTAGAGTTTCCAATTGATGAGCTTGGATGTATATGGGACTCTCTTCTTCTTCTCCACCACCTCTTATTTTGGATTGTCTTATTTGCTGGCTATTTTATACTTCTTAAGTGCTGATGTATGTGTACGTGTATTTGAGAAGTAATAGTAAAGGTCATGATCCCGAGTGGACCTGATAACCAATGATGGTTCTTGCCGCTCTAGTAATTATTTGAGTCGCGACTCAAACTTTCTAAGCAGTGTCTGATGGACACCTTTTAGCAGGGAAAAGTGAATTAACAGTGACCAAAACGCTTTGGAAAAGCCTTTTATCAAAAACCTTTTTCACAGCAGCGCTAGTTTTGATCCACCTCTAACAATGTTGTCCTCGCTGAATCGTCTTGGTTGTTTCATCCAATCCAAAGCAAGGCTTCCAACAGGCAGTATACACTTTTTACGACTGCGTTTCAATCCTATCTTCTCGTTTACCTTTTTGCATAGCCTCCTTTGTTTTGGCAAGCAATTTACAGAGCAGGCTAATCTCTTGCAGAATGTCTAGGATTGAAATGACTTTTTTCAAAGTCGTTTTACTAATTCGCCCTTGCTGAATGCCAACTGCTATTGATGGGTGTTGCCAATGAGCATGAATTTAAAACCTGCTGTATAAATCTTGATTCGCCA